AACGACGTCGTTTGTGCAAATCAAAACGACGTCGTTTTGTCTCGTTGTCTAATGAGAGTCCAGCTGGACCAAAACACAGTCGTTTAAAATGAACACGTGTCGTCCTCGTCAGCATCCGTTAACGGAACAGTAACACCGTCTAACGATTTGAGGGTTTTCACCGGATTTGTAAAGTATGTGTTGTAATTTCAAATTAAACTTGAGTTCATGTAGGTATAAGCACAAAAGAAAGTTCTGTGTATGAAAGCGATAAAGCAGCTTAGTTCAGGGGGGAATATGCCGTTTTCCCGACATCGGTCCATAATTTTCTTAGGTTATATATATAAGACTTGAACCGAAGATTTGGTTATGTCCCCTCTTATGAGCTCCTCAAGTCGTCCCGTAAGCATAAGTGGGCCAAACATTGAGTTTAGGGGTTTTGATGTATGTAATAATTTAGAGAGAAAAATCCAGCAGTTCTGCTGATAATATCAATTGCTTAGTTTTGGATGTTCAGGATTCGATCCTGATTTGTTTTCTTATTATTTTTTGAAGAAAATTTGGATAAATCAATATTTAATGGGTCAATTATATTATGTTTCTTTTCGTGAAGCCACTAAATTCTCAGGCCGGCTTTGCTACCGACACGGGATCAAAATAAAACTTACATTACCAGACATTATTTTATAGATGTTCAACAAAAAGTTTATGTGATTCCCAACATACAAACCTAACGTACGTGAAATTTGGTTGGGTTGGGTCATTCACTGCAGTTGAGCTGTCAAAAGATATTGGAGTTGGGACCAAACTAATGTAAAGAAGTACATAAGTCACACAAATCACAATCTTATACTAATATTTCATGACCATTAATATTCTCAACAATGATCACATATCAACTATATATTAGAACGAATTAAATCACATTTACTTTTCCAGTTTGGTAACCTTTTGGCTCTTGGAAGATGAACTTAGAAAATAAACCATATAGGTTTATATATATATATATATATATATATATAATGGCTTTTATATATATACAAAATAAACCATATAGGTTTATATATATATATATATATATATATATATAATGGATCTTAACTAGGTAGAATTGTAATAAATGTTGAAGTCATAGAGTGGCTTGTTCGTACACTTGGATCTGGCTTACGGTTGCTTAATTTATTTGAATAAGACCAATGGTGATATTGATACTGAAAAACACTAGTATATGATCCAGGATCTGTAATTCGGATGGTTTAAAGTATGTGATAGTATTATTATTTTTAACATGTTTTTTAAAAGTGTTTTTTTTTTTGTTGTATAAAAATGAGTATATTATATACTCTCTCTCACCATCATGTCATTTACATTTGCAATCGCAACAATTTTTAAAACGTATTTAATTAGAGCAAAAGTAGTAATCAAATCAACATAAATATACATAGGCCTAGACGAACCACAATACTAAAGGTAAGAGCAACATTATTGGGAGATGATTAGTTTTGGTTCTTAGTAATTTTTTTGGTTCTTAGCCTAATTTTTGATTCTTAGCTAAGAGTCATTCTTTAGCAAAATCATCAATTAAACCTTTAGTTGTAATCTCTTTTGAGCTAAGAACCAAGTTAAGCACCAAGTTAAGCACCTCCCAATAAAGATGGT